AGCAACTACTTACACAGTTGATTAAAAAAAAAAAAAAAAAAGTAAGATCCAAATGAGATGCTGAGATAAACCAGAGATTAGCAATTATATAAGGTTGCTACCACCCTTAAGACTGGAGGAACAGAGATGTTACCAGAGCCCAGGATCCAAGGCCACCTCGTGGAAGATGGAGCCATAGCAGAGACCACAGAGGAAGGGCTGTGTAGCAGGAGTAGGAGCCATTGGGGTGACTCAGCAGCTGTTAATCAGAAGGGAGAACTGCCCTGGCTTCTTTTCCCCTGCTCACTCCAGTCTTTTGCCAGACCTACTGTTGGCTGAACCATAGAAACCAGAAAACCAGAGAGCCTGGGAAATGTAATGGCCTCTGCTAAAGAGCAGAGCCAGGAATGGCCTCTGCTAAAGAGCAGAGTTAGAGAGCAGGCATATAGGTGCTGCACTTTTTGAGAAAAGGGTATGAAAATTGTGGAAAGTAGAACAGATTTAGAATTTTTATGAGAAGTTTCTTGGATTCGTTCTCTTTTGGCTAAAGTTCACAGCATTTTAGGGAAAGAAAGGACTTTAGAGCAGTTGTTCTTAACTGGGGGCCATTTTGCCCCTCCAGGGATATTTGACAATGTCTGGATACATTGCTAGTTGTCGAAACTTGGGTAGGAGGGGGGTGTTACTGGCATGTAGTGGGCAGAGACCAGGAATGCTGCTGAACATTCTAAAATGCATAGGAACATGCCCCACAACAAAGAATTACCAGTTCAAAATGTCGACAGCACTGTGATTGAGAGATCCTGCGTTAGAGAACCACATAGGAATAACAAAATATCCTTCCTCGGAGACAGTAAGGTTCATGTTTCTGTGGGAAGTGAACGGGGTTGGAGTCAGAAGTCATCCTAGACCAGGCTCTGACAGCTTGCTGGCTTTGTGACCTTTCAAGTCACTTAACTTGAGTTTCCACATCTTCAAATGAGAGACTTCATCAAGAAAATATTTAAGTTCTCTACCATTACTCAGATATCTGCATGTACTAACTTCTTAAATGTGTTTCATTTCCTGCTGAAAGTATTTTTAGATATCAATATTTATTTGCTTATGATATTTCACCTAAGTTTAATTTTGGTCTTTGGTACTGAAGGTGATTATAAGGGAAGCTTTTACTCTCTTGAAAGATATTAAATTCAGATTTAAGAATAAGCTCATTTTCACTTTCATGCTTCCAAGATCAAACCATAATATTTGAAAAATATATTAAATTTGATTAAATTACTTAAGAAGCATGGCAAGAACAAAAGAAAAGGAAATCTTACCAAACTGATAATTAAACATACATGGAAATGTTTCTTCCAATTGAGAGAAATGTAGGAATTATCTTCTTTATGCTTGACTGTACAATTGTACTAATTTAGATATATGGAGTTTATATTAAAGCTTGGCAAATGCTTCTCAAATCTGTCCACTTCTCTGCTTGCTTGTCACTACTACATTATCTTATTGCTAACAATCTCCCCTGAGGTATGATCATTGAGATAACTTCTTGATGGGTTTTTCTACATTTCTTTGTCCCTTCTTCACATCCATTCCTCGTGGTGCCACAGGAGTGATCTGTCTAAAATACAGATGTTATCATGTTATATGACTCTCTCCCAAGTTTAGAGACTCTT